ACTGAAACATCATGAGAGAAGTGTTCCTTCTCAGGAGGAAGCTGCATTCAAGATGATGAAAGGGACATGTCTGAACATGCATGATCTTCAGGTTGGTAAACTTTATTTCATACTTCTTAAGGATTGCTTGTCTTCCTTCTGGGCTATTCTTGAATTGTCATGTCTGAGCAAAATATATAGTTGTTACTTGAGGGTACCATTGTTTTTGATGAGGTTGTCCATGTCTGAGCAAAATATATAGTTACTTGAGGGTACCATTGTTTTTGATGAGGTTGTGATAAAAAGAGCTGAAATAGGCAGATATAATTCCATTTCCAATTTCACATTTAAAGTAATACTGTGTGTCAGTGAATAGAATGGGTGAATACAAATAAGCAGTATGGTGGTAATAATAAAATGACCGCATTGACATTTTGTTTAGAAGAATCTATCATCAACATACAGGATTCTGAAGACTCTAACCTTCAAGATGACCATGTTTTTCTATAGTTTCAGGGTTACCTGCCAATGGTAGTGTTTCAGTCACATATGCCAGATATATTGTGGCTTTCATCTGTAGGAAAAAGAAAAAAAAACTCCCTCCAGAAGCAACTATAGATAAGTTTGTGATAAGAACCAGCAGATTACCAAAGAAAGGTTGATGAAAAAATTGCCCAATTTGTTTGTACAACAAATTCTCCTTTCCATTTGATTGAAAATTCGTATGTCATTAACATGGTTCCATCATTAAGACCATACAGTTCACCCAACATTAAGGATACAGTTCACCCAATGGAGCAGATGTCACAAGCAAATTGCTGGATAAGATATATGAAAGAATAACCGAGCAGTGTGCAAAAAGTCTAGAAGATGGAAATTGTTAATCTGAGTCTTGATGGATGGAGCAGTATCCACAATGATCCTGTTGTATGTGCTTGTGTGACAACAGAAAGGAATGTCTTCCTTACAGAAACAATCGATACATCAGGAAATACACAGACAATGAATACTTACAAGAAGTAGCAGTAAAACCTGTAACAGTTTGTGGGGAAAAAAAGTTCAAATATCTAGTACACAACTTAGTCACAGACAGTACTGCAAATGTATCCCAGAAGAAAAGAAATTTATAAGAGAACGAAGAGAGTTCCAAGATAATAACATACAGTTGCAGTGCTCATTTGATGCACCTCCTAACCAAAGAATTCAGTGTTACAAGAATAAAGGCTAGTGTTGAAATTGCAAAATATTTCCATAACGACTTTGTAGCAGCTGTTCTGAAAAAAGTGGGAGGAACCAGGCTAACTGTCTGACAAGACGTGCAATGGAACTCAGTGGATTATTTTGAGCTCTGTATCAAGAACTGGCCTAATCTGGTGACACTTTTGAACAAAATTGTGGAAAAAACGGATGGCAATGCCACTGCCACAGCCAAAGTTCTCAACATTGGACTTATGAGAAGTGTGAACACATGCCGTGAAGCCTATTTTTGTAGCATTAAACAAAATGCAGGGAAATGTGTGAACACATGCCCTGAAGCCTATTTCTGTAGCATTAAACAAAATGCAGGGAAATAGCCATTTTATTGCTGATGCTGTTGAAATTTGGAAGGAACAGAGTGAGAGATTTAAAAAAAATAGAAATATGCAATGATGGAGTTAAATTGCTAGCATTAAAAAAACAAATGAGACAAGCACTTTCTACAGCTCATTTTCTTAGCATTAAAAAAACAAACGAGACAAGCACTTTCTACAGCTCATTTTCTTGCAAATATTCTCAATATTTGGCGCAATGGTAAAACCATAATCCCTGAAGAAAAGGAGTCGCCCTATGACACGGGCATCCAACAAACATCCGTCTGTAATGCCAACTGTAATAAACTACAGAGCTAAGGGTTAACCATTCAAGAAATGTGTTTGCTGCTAATAGTCTGTGAACTGGTGGAAGTCACTTAAGCACTTGTATAAACTGTTGAAGTGATAATCTTACTTTTAACAGTGCTGCTTCTTCTGCGAGTGTAGAAAGACTATTTTCTTCCTTTGAGCTTCTTCTGCGAGTGTAGAAAGAATATTTTCTTCCTTTGGACTGATTCATTTTAAATTGAGAAATTGTTTGGGACCTGAAAAAGTAGGAAAGCTTGTTTTTCTTTTCCAGATTATGAACAAACAGGAAAATTAAGGTGAAGATTACTGAGCTAGCTGCAGAAGTGAATATTTTAAGTCTCTCATGTTGACCTGGCTGTCTATTTAATTTTTAAAAAATTCATTTAACTATTTTAGTTAAAATTACTTTTAACTAACATCTGATTTTTTTAAAACTTGAATGATTAAATAAAAAAATTCGTATGGTTCTTTTGTTGAATTATTATATGTTTACTGTTGAAGAAAACAATCCATAGTACATAATATTGTTTTAGTTAAAATAAAACAATTTAAATGTCTGGTGATGTTCTCTTCCAAATACTGCATGGCGAGAAAATCCTCCAAACAGTAATGATTAACCTGTTGGTCTCTTCCTAATGCTGCATGGTGAGAAAATCCTCCAAACAGTAATGATTAACCTGTTGATTTGGAGATAGTTCACCTCCCAGTGACTTCATAAATATCTGCTTCAATTGTCTTTGGTAAATGAAATAACCAAACAATCATTCATTTTTTGATATAGCTATAAAACTCATCTGAAACATTTTCAAAAAATGAAATCTACATCTATCTCTGAGTTGTGTCGAATATGTATTAAGGTTATAATAACCACCAAGAATGCATTTCTTATGTAGAAAACCATGATTAAATAGAGTCTTTCTAATGATTCAAATAATTTTGATTCATATCAAATCCACTCTGATTGAAATTGAATGTCCATTTGATTATAATTTTTGGTAGTTCCCATAAAATGCAAGCTTGCACCTTAAACCATCATATTTAATATAGATATTTTAATTGCATAGACGTCTGGCCACTATAAATTTTCAGACTAGTAGTAATTTTCGCTTCTGTATTTAAAAAACTAGAAGCAGAGTAACAGGAGTAATTGAATCTTGCAGAGCATTGCCAGTAGATCATAATGCAAAGCATCAAATAGATGCACTCTTTAGCAGTTTTTATAAATGAAGCAAGCAGCTACAAGAATGTTCATGTATAAGAGCTATTTTCAGATCCTGCAACACTGCCTATTGCCTTTCAGTCTAAAATGTTAAACATTTATTTTTAGCCCAGGAGAAGTACTTTCTAAAAGCTGAGCTAAAAACAATTTAGCATTCTGTTTTCTACAGATAGTATGAAATTTCACAGTGAAGGTAACAAAATAGCTTTAATGACAACACGAGGAAGAAAAAAAAATGGAAGCCCCCATGCCTTTCTTTAAAAATGAATATAATATTGTCTCAGAGCAGCTTCTGTTAAATATAAATCATTATTTAATTCTTTTTGTGCAGCATGTCTAAAGGGCAGAATTAAAGTGGTTTGATTACATTACTTGTGCATTTTTGAAATTTTAACGTTGATATTTCTTTTAAATGTAACCTTTTACTCTGAATTTCCTGAGTGTTTTAATATTTACTTTTTGGACAATTGCATCATCTTTGTAAGGCAGTTTATCAAAAATTAATTATATATATCTGGGTGGTTTAACATTTTAAAGCTGGTTTGGGAATGTATACACAAGATATGTCCCATTGTGGTTCTATGTGAGGCACATGAAACGTTTTCTTTATCATTGCCTACACAGAGGGTTGCCAGATTCTGCTAGTTTTTATTCACATAGTTATTTTTCCTACCAGTATTACAAAAGTGCAGTTTTTATCCACATGGTTATTTTTCCTACCAGTATTACAAAAGTGACGTGCTCTTTAAGCAAGGATATGCAAATTTTTAGGTGCACAAGCACAGTTAACAAAACTACTCTATCCTGCGAGACCATCTTGTTTATGACAATTTTGCGGTCCACTGAGATGGAGGGCCACTCATATGGATCACTCACCTGCCAAGGTTGTCCCTTGCTGTTGTAAAGCATATTGCGGTGGAGCTCTGGTAGTTCCCCCGTGGTCCTGCACTTCCTAGTGGATTTTAAGATGCCTCAGTGGCTTGCAGTGACCCTTCCATTGTCTCTTGATTCTTATAGAGTCAAGGGTTCCCCACTTAATGAGCTATTCTTCCATTGTCTCTTGATTCTTAGAGTCAAGGGTTCCCCACTTAATGAGCTATTTTCATCATAGACCAGTCACTAGTTTGGAGGGAAAAATCATTCCGTGGTCTAAAGGTCCCCCTTTCCCTGGTGGCAGTCCACCGGGCATGGGGAGGGTTGAGGGCGGGGGAAGGGGAACTTGGACCTGCCCACTTACCCTGGGTTCCAGCCCAGGGCCCTTCTTAGTGGCTACTAGTCAGGCTCTTGCCCTTATTCCACCATATAACAGCTTTTTCTTGGACCATTTCCTCAACCACTCCTGCAATACCTTCTCCCTGGCAACCTCTCCTGGTTGCCTCACTCTGTGCTTCCTTCTCCATGACAGTCCATTTCACCTCTCCTTCTCCCTCCTTGCCTGAGGGGAAACCTTATAAAAGGGACCAGCAGACACTATTTGGCCTAATTGCTGCCACAGGCTGGCTCTTGATGAATCCCAGGTGCCTGCCTGACTTAATTGCTGGACATCAGTCTCCTGCTGCCTATACAGGGAACAGGAACCAGCTCACCCAACTGCCTTGCAGCCTATTCAGGGAACAGGAACCAGCTCACCCAACTGCCTGTATACTTGCCCTCCATCAAACTCCTGCAACTTGCTATCTTTGGTCTGCCACAGTATATTTGAGGTTAAGAATTACATACTGCACAATATATTTATAAACTACACATTTTAATAATTGTAGATATATTTGTAGCATCCTACAACAGTTTGTTTTGCATAGTCAGGGTTAAAAATATAAGAATTTTTTTTAAATACACATTGTTAGATTTGAATAGTTTAAAATATTTTAGTTCCAAGATGAATGTGTAACTTTGTGTCTTTATCTTTAATCAAATTATAAAAGCTTGAGCAAGAGTTGGAGCGGTTTAGGAGGAAGTTAGATCAATCAGAAGGCAGTCGAGAAGCTCTTCTTCATCAGGTAACTACTTTTATGCCATGAAAATTCTCTTCCTTTCATACAAAGTAGGATCAAGCCTGCCTCTTCATCTTGTTCTCGGTTACTCTAAAAACAACGTTGTTTGGGAAGGAAGGAAGGAAAAGTACAGAGCAGTGCCTACTAATTGAACCATATAAGATTATACAAAAATGGGAGCTTCCCAGGGTTTAAAATAGTCATGAAAGCCTTTCCTTCAGTGGCATTGTGATATGTTGATATCTGCCAAAACTACTTGAGTATTTATTCTTGGTGCGTTATAACAGTAGATTGGATCAAGCAGACAAACTGTTCTTAAGACCTTCATTTGTTGCAGACATCCAGCTGGGGATGAAGAAATATATATAATGCATAATATAGACATTTACATTTCTAAGTATCTCTGAATGCAATGGTCTCAAACACTCTTTTGTACTATTTTCACCCAACACTTTTTAATAGTTGAGTTGTTCGTGTTGGATAAACCCATGCACTGTTCTAGCCTCATTTCCTAGGGTGTTTTTGCATATTGTATATTTGTAACTGTGCTGTAATATGTTAAACAGTATTTGTATAGTGCAGCATTTCTGAAGCAGTAGCCATTATAGT